CGGGGCGGCCTGTACAGTATTACTTTTTTTTTCTTCAAAAAATTTTGCTTTTCAGAAACCGCACTGGAAATTTCATCTTCATTTTTTCCACCTGTTATTGTACTTTTTATTTATTTTTTCATGCTTAATGTCACTCCAAGGAATGGTCAGCGCACCTGGAATTTTCCCTTCCCTAATCCTTTCTTGGAATCATTTTCTGGAGACCACTATTCACAAGAGAACGAAGTCTCTCTTTCCCTTCTGCCATATGGACAGCTGTTGAGTGTAGGAAATGGGCATGGAGTGGAGAAGCATAAATCAGAAAGGAATGAATGAAGAAAATCAGGGTGGGGCCAGTGATAACATAACTAACTGTAAAACAAACGCTCCCCCACCCCTGTTCTTTCCAGGAAATATGACTCTTCCACTTGTCATGGATGCCTCTCTCCACTCCCCTTTTTTCTTCAGCTGGTTGTTAAAAACATGTGAATGTTTAGTAAATAAAGCATGCTGATGAGCTTGGAATGACCTTCAATAATCTTACAATTAGAATGTTCAAAAAGAATTTCAAACTTTCCACTGAGGGTCAGTGCAGAGGGAAAAAAAGCAAAGTGTGTGAGAATTTTAGACAGGGATAAAAGAAAGACCGTCCTAGGCGGAGTCAGTTGAAAAAAGAAACCTGATTTGAGAAGTGAAAATAGAGGGAGGAATTGCTAAAAATAGAAACTTGTTTTAAATGCTTGGGAGAGAGCTTTTTATTGTTTTTTTTTTCATTGCTCATATTTCTGTCTGGTTTCGATCATCTTCCTCAGCTTATTATTATTAAGTTTTTTATCATTTTATCTTCAGTTCTGATGCGTTTTTGATGCGTTTTTATTAATATTTTTGATTCATTTATTCTATTTTCGTTTTGTTTTAACATAACTTGTATTTAAGTTATCCATTTTAAATGCCTCCCATGAAGAGGGAAAATTATACCGCTGCGTTTAAGCTGTCAGCAATTAAAAGAGAAAAAGGAACTGTGATAAATGGCTTAAAAAAAGCGGAAATCATCCCGGGACAAACGAAACCGAAAGTGACGGAGATTAACCCGAAATAAGCAATTAAATAGTAAACCTAATTTGCTCTGATACAGAGAGTTCTGATTTTGAGGAATTTTTAAGTGCAGTGATATCTAAATAAATTATTCTTAAGTTTTTCTTTGAAAAAAATTTGTTTGGATTTATCGTTTATTTCTAAAACAGGATTTTGGATTGCTAATTTAAAAGTAAAATTGTTTTATTTTTAAAAAATTTTATACTTATTTTAATGGTTTATGATATATTAATCATTTTATTTGTATTTTACTGGTTACTTCACTTTAAAATTAGAAAATGCTTGATTTTACTTAGAAAATTATTAAAATCTATTTTATATACTAGGATTGTTTCTTTTTTTTTTAATATTTAATATCCTTTAATTTATTTTTATTTAACTATTTAAATTATATACAAATGCATATTTAGAGCATGTGTTAAGTCTAATCAATACCTGCGTTAAGTTCAAAATTCTTTAATTGTTAAGAATTCGGCGCGGCGTGTTCGATGAAAAGCTTTTTTTTGTCAGTCGATTTTTGAGGGAGCGGCGTATGTACCAGGGCGGCGTTTCTCCGTGAAATTACGATAATTTTTATTTATAAATTTTAATTCCTGTTTTTGCAATATCGTATTTACAAAGTATGATTATTGGTAATTTCTCTCCTTATTTTTGCAAACCTTTCGTTAGTGCTTGCAATGAAGAATTCTAAAATAGTAAAATTAATACATTATACATTTTAATTATAAATAAATGTGATTAAAATAGTTGAAAAAATCTTAGGTTAAGCAATTGGTATCGCTGAAAACGAATCAGCATTTACAAGAATCTAGTCCATTGAAATCTAACTCTCATCAATATAATCTACTTACACTTAACATTTCTCTTAATGTTATTTAATTTATCCATATAATTTCAGCGAATATCATTATGATAGACTTTTTTGTTTCACTAAAGCTTTGGGATAGTAATAAAAATAAACTTATATGAAATGAAAAAAAATTCTAATGCACATTCTTTATTAGAATAATTAAAAAATAGACAGTAATGTTAAGATTTTTTCTGAATATTTTTATTCTTTGAGTAAATAGGATTTTTGCTATGGTGAAAAATTATTTTTTATATGCATTTATAAAATGTAATTCCTGTTTCTGTAATGTAGAACTAAATAATTGTATATGCTTGATTTCAAAAACGCTTATATCATAGATTAATGCAATTAATATAAGGCTAATAAAATCTATTGTAATATGTAAATTTTTTTTCTTTTATCTTTAATTTTTTTTTTGAAAGAATGAATTTAAAGTTTTGCTAGAATCACAAGTTTTTTAAAAGGCTACTGCTATGCTGTAGACAATTCCCTACTTTGACCTCACGCTAGAATACATTAATAAAAAATATCAATAACTTAAGCTATCCTACATTTTGAAATCTAAATCTATTCTTTACAAAGAAATTGATTCAACATTTCTTTCACTTCACATGAAAATAAATCTTCAAAATGAATTTGAAATATACTTTAAAATTGAGATTAATATGGTTAAAAAATGAAAAACAAAATTATTTTGTATTTATAACGCATCATCTTAATAAGTAATAACAGGCATACAAAACTCATTCTAACACCTTTTTTACTGAACAATTATTTAGAAATCTTCTTAAATATTCAGAACTGGAAAATTGCGTGATCTATTAACAATATTTCAGTGGGCTTGAATTTTGAGGCGAAGAGGAATGCCATCACTGATGTGATTGTTGTTTTGTCTCAGGTGTTAAGTGGTACACCCAAGCTTCGTCGCCTGCGACAATTGAATTCAAGAAGTTGTTCTTTTCATTAGCATAATGACACAGAAATTCATGAGAGGAGTAAACTCTCTGCCGTTTGTGGTCTTCCGTGAGCATTAGTGACATTCATCTTGCGCAAACCTACCGATATTTCAACTTTTCTATCAAAACCCGATAAATGGTGGTTCGGGAACTGAAATGCATAAATTCAGTGTGGTTTGTCTATCCCGATGCATGACTCATCCTATCTTCACAACTGTCTTATCAGAAATCGACAGTCTCCCGGTTCTTTTTTCTTCGTGTATTGCAGAATGGCCAGATTCAAACTCCCTACACCACTTGCACATGTGCTTTATCTCCATGCATTCCTAGCCACACACTTCCACCAATTGACATTGAATTTCAATTGGTTTAGCCCCTTTTATGTTCAAAAACCGAATAACTGTGCAAATCTCACACTTCACGAATGTAGTAATGAGCTCCATTTCTAATGGCAACCCTGCCAAGATTGAGCCTCCTACCTTCCCGTGCACATGCTTGGTGGTAGTGGGGGTAGAGGAGAATGTAACAGGGTTGCCAACAACAGCATAAATAGGTAATTACCCAGTGCTTTGGAAACCTTACCTTTGGAATCAGCCTTGTAATTTGCTCTTCGTTGGATAGCTAAATGAAATATTGCTCTTCTGTCTTTCAAATTTTAAAATGTTTAACTAGAACTATAATAACCATGATTTTGTTAACTCAGTGATTAATTTGTAATACTCTTAAACATTTCACTTAGAAATAGTAACTACGTTAGCTATATTGTTTTTAAATAACAAATATTATTAATGCATTGTATCGAATGATTTAACTGTTAATTATAAATCAGTCAAAAAAATCTAATTTAAGTTTTAAAAAAATTCAATTTCAACCAAATAAGAATTTAAATTTAAATAAAAATCCAATTAAAATTGATCCGTTTTTTTTTTAAGTTAAAGAAAATTATGATTTTTACCAACCCTGATTAAAGGATATGCAGCCATACATCTACCATGATGCCTGCCCAAACCCTTAAACCTTTTCTACCATAATAGTTTATTTCTTGGACATTAAAGGCTTAGTAGTGGGTCTTTCTAAAAGTATGAACTAGGGAAAAGTACACTGACAGGTGTGAGAATAAAGATGAGGTCTTTAAAACCCTATATTTGCCTTTTTAGAGGTGTAGCTGGCTCTAATTTCATTTTAATGGATAACAGTTCATTACCTTTGAGTGCTCCTTTTGTTGACAATTTTCTGGGAAGCTAAAAATATTCACCAGATAAATTTGTCTGTCAGGTCTCTAGTCTTGAATCCTTTAGAACATCTTTGAGATATTTGAGGAAGTTAATACAACTCACTACTCCCTCTTGTAACTACCATGGATTTAAAACAGTAGTGCTGAAAGTGTGATACTTTTTTTGTCCCAAGAAAATATCTAAACTGTCGTATTTTCTGCATGAAATCATAGGCCTGTATGTCCTTAAGAGGACGCTATACTGTGGGCGAAACTTTTCATTGCTATTTCCATTAGTAAATTAAAGTTTAAAGGAGAGTGAATTTGGGTAAATTTAGAGTAAACCATGAAGTTTGAAAAAATATTTTCAAAATATAAAAATGCAAAAAAATCATTGACAGAGAACTTCCCCATGTGTAATCCTAAATAATCCTCTCATTTGTTTGCATTTTGATGTTTAAAAAAAAAATCAGAATTTGAAACTTCGTGGCTTGATCTATATCTACCTGTACTTACTTTTTCTACACTTTAAATTTTAAAATACTAATGGAGGTATAAAAGAATTAGCCATGAGGGAGTTTTCTAGTGGTGTAAAGCCACGCTCTCTTAAAACTGAGAGGGAATCAAACATCTTATAACCTAATTTTTTGTTTTATTCTAAAGCCATTTCTTCAGTTCTACTGACTGAAGAGTTTAACGCACAATCTAATGTGTTATTATAACTGTTCAATAGTTTTTTGTTTGTATCAACTTATAATTAAAACTTGATTTAAATAAATAAAATTTTAATAGATTAAATTTTATTTAAATCAAGCCTGTGGTTTTAGAGATAATCAACAAAACCTGTCTCACTTGAATTGAAATGCTGCTATTTTCCAACAATATTCTGTATTCATAATTTATTTAGGTTTTGGATCTTAATTAGACATCCACAATCGAAAAGGCTTAACTGCCGAGAGTTGTGTAGATGTAGTGCTGAAGCAAAGCCTATTCTAGAAGGAGAAATAGACATGGCTACAAAAGAGTATGTTCGAAAACCGAGCTCTTACACTTTGAAGGAAAAAATAAGCCTTACAAAGGTATTTCATTTAAATTAATCTTGCTTTTTCATTATTAATAATATTATTGTCATTCCTTAATATCAGTTTTCTTTCTTAAATTTTAAGAATACAGTATTTGGCTTTTTTAGTTTTTCAAAACACTTACATCTAGTGATTGCGGTTGGTCTAGAATTTCTGTGTGATATTATTATAAGAAGTAAAGACAAATAAATTAAGCAAAGATTATTTTCATAACTTATATTTGGGAATGATAATACCCTTATTAGTATATTTTGATTTTTTTAATGTTTTAACACTATTAACTTAATAAATATTATTATAAACTAGAACATATGAAATACATATTTATAGTAAAATTGTTTTTGTTTTCTTTAATATGTATAAGGCATGTTTTAAATATTGTCAATATTTTTAGAAAATAAATTACCATGTTTTAAAAGATGTAAGCATTAAAATATGCGATTTCACTGTATTCTCCTTTTGAGAATAGAAATATAAATGAATTCTCTGGGTCTGTAACAGCGGCAAAAATTGAACCCCATCTAGTTCGTGAAACCAGTGCAACAGCGATCATGGTTTGTTGCGGAAGAGGATAGAAAGGCATATGCTTTAGGTTTCGGCAGCACCCAATTTGTTGTCATTATAGTCAGTATAAAGGCCTCTTTACACAGGCTAAAGAATCATTGTTTTCCCAAATTACTATGTATGCAAAATTCTGTAAAAATTTTGCTTATTTGAATTTTTCATCCAAAAAATAAAATAGAAATAATCAAACTTTTCAAAGGAGATGTTATATAAAAAAGTAACTCTTCTAAGAAATTTGAATAAAAATATTTTTGGAAAATAATGAATGATAATTTTTAAGAGTGAATGTTTGAAATGCTTAAGAATTGTTTTGAATAGAGAGTAATGATTATTTGTTTTGTCTAAAAACATTAATATACTTTTATAAAAAGGTTTATGAATTGAATTTCCTCTTAAGAAAAGTAATAATCTATATTAGTTTTATTTAATTTTATTATTTTGAAAAACTGTTTTTATATGTAATTCAAAAAATAATGCTAAATATAAAATTATAGGTGCAAAATAAACTAAAAATATCATTAATCATCATAATGGCTGACATTTATTGCATTTGTGTTTTAAGATATTAATAACTATCTCTTTTGCCTTCATTAAAAATTAAATTATTTTAAATTAGAATTGCTTAATAAGAGTCAGTTTTAACAACGTTTGTAATTTTAAGTTTATGCTATCATGCATGCATATTTTTGGTTAACATTTATTTTCTATTTGCAGCCTCTTTTAAAATACATGTTACCTTTAGGTCTGGTATATTTTGCTGAATATTTTATCAATCAAGGCTTGGTGAGAGTGTTTCTTTACTTCAAAATGGTCAAGTATGTTAATATTTAAGTAACTGTTTAATTCTTTTTTCCAAGATGGAGCTCTTGTACTTCAAAAATGCCAGTAATTGGTTATGTCATAAAGTTCAATATAGATGGTAAGCATATTTATTAAATAATTTTATTTGATACCAGCTATATAAAATGTTATACTTTTCGTATAAAAAATATTGTTAACATTGTTTTTCAAACTTTTGTGAGTACATACCTGCCCAATTGTACAGTTGTATGGCCGTATTTTGTAATTGTTTGCTTTTTACATTTCAATATGATGTGGTGGATAATATTTATCAGCAGCGCCCATTCTTAATCATGAAATTAGATCGCTCGATGCACTGAAATTTTTTCAAATGCTTTTTGTACTTGGCTTGTGCAAACAGGGCAAACTTGTGAAACCTGTTTTGGGGGATATAACGTTCTCATGCATTCAACCTATATCATGGTCAATGAGTGTTCGGCCTGTCTTTTTTCATTTGCTGTTGATAGATCACACATAGTCCATGACGTCATTCCTTATATGTAGTGCAAGAGTACTTAAGTTGAAGATGGTTATGCAGTATTCTTACTCCCTGTTACCATGTTTGTCAGAGTGTACTGTGCCTGTTTATTTCAAGTTTAATTTGTTTTTGAATAAATCTTTTTTCCATGGACACTTTGTTTCTGTTTTAATAAAAGTTAATATTTGTTTACACTGACATTCTTGCACTATTTTGGATGTCAAGGTTATGGGCCATGTATTGATTTATATTTTTATGATTTTCTTTCGAGAAATTTAATTATGCCTAAAATTTAAATTGAGAATTTTTTGGAAGCCTATTCTAAATTGTTTTTGTGCATTAAGAAGTTAAAGGAAAAACAACACTCTGCATTTTGCACCATTTGCATTTAAAAATTGTGATATTGATAACATACCTGCAAAATCTCCTGTTTTTTAACGAGAATTCCTTTAAGGCTATCTCCTGTTCACCCGTATATTCTCAAATTTCTCTGTATTTGTTGAAGAAATTGAAAAAAAAAATGTCCACAAATGGTAAAAATACTTCTCTTATTCTTTAGAGATGGTGCTATTGCCAGTGTTGAGTGTTAATAGTTTAAGACAAGGCGTGAAGGCTCAGGTGATAGAGAGTTGGCCTTCCAATGAAGTGAACCGGGTTTGAATCCCAGGGATGACTGGTCAATATAAATTCCGCATCCAGCTTGCACCGACCACAGTGCTGATGTAAAATATCCTCAGTGGTAGATGGATCACGGATTAGACTCCCCTTGTTGTCAAGCTATCCGTGAGAGGTTTTCATGGTTTTCTACCCCATGAAACTCAAATGCGGTTTAGGTTCATCAAAAAAGTTCTCCGTGAAGGCTAATTTCTCCCAATAGTTGATCCGCCCCTCTGCAGAGGATCAAAATTGTGATGGCATGTCTTCGGATCATCCTTAGGGATGTTTCCCAGACCGTCGCCAATAGCCCATTGTGCAGCTCTAGTGCGACATAAATTAACAACAACCCAATACTTGATCCAGGAGTTCCCTTGTTTTTTGGATTGGGTTCAAAATTACAAGGCTGCAGAGTTGAACATAACCCAAAATTGGGTTGGCCGTTCAACGACAGTTATAAAATAAAATAGTTTAAGTAAATTATAAATAATGGTTTAAAAAAATCTTAAGATTAAAATTTATATACATATTTTTTACTTCGCTAAATGTAAGTGCTTATATTATTTCCAATTTTGATTATGCATGATGTATCAAAACTTTACTCGTAGCCTGAAAATGTCGCTAGTAAAATCTCCATTATTTTATTTCTCCAATGTTGGCAGGCATGTAATAATCACATAAGCCCTGTGACAGAATCACGGCGACAATGTTATAGAACCTTACGAGTTCTTGCAGGAAGATTTTTCCTTTGGGAAGTAAAAAATTTTGGTTTTCTTTTCTGCTGAAAATCAACTGAAATATTTTTTTTCTGCAGAATTATAATCAAAAGGTGCCTTTCTTACACATTGGAGGGAAAAAATGCTTGTGATATTTCTATTCTCATCTGAGAATAATGAAAAATGAAGAATAATGAATTCAAAAATTTTGTTTTTCTTTTCTCCTGAAATTTTTGAAATAAATTCTTTTCATCCAGAATTATATTCAAATGATGTCTTTCTCGCGCATATAGAAGGGAAAAGAAATGCTTGCAATTTTTTCATTTGTTAATATTGAAAAATAATGAAGTAAAAAATGGAGTTGATGGTTTTGAATCCTGGCGCAGACAACAGTGAAGTAGAAGAAAGTGACGAGGAAGATAAAAACCAAGGTGCCCATCCCTTTATTCCGAGCGAATGTATCAAGTTGAAAAAAGAATTGATTTAGGGGATGAAGCAAAAACTGTTTGTACGTGAATCTCACATTATGTCAGTCAATTTATAAGATTGAACAGTTGTTAATGCAACCAAAACCAAATTTCCGTCAACAGAATGGATGAGTTTTTTTTTTTTTAAAATGCTGATTTTTTTTTTCATTTTGCCTTTTTGTGTTTATTTTCAATTAAGCTTGTATATACTTTTCATTTCATTAATTTTTCTCTTTTTTATCTTATTAAACTTATGTGTATTACTTCATTGTCTTTTCTTCTTTTTTTGACTATTTCTAAAAAAATTTTTTTTTGGTTGGGTTTCGTAAACAATAAAAAAAATGGCGTTTTGTAGCGATTCAGAAAGCCAGAAAAATCAGTCATCCGGAACAGCGATAGTCCTGTTCGTTCTGGAATATTGGTTCTCTACTGTATCCTGCAAAAAGATGTTCGTGCCAGATGTTCGTTGCAGAAAGCCTAAAGAAATTCTGTCATATGGCATATAAATTCTACGAAACATGAAGATTTAATGAAGTGTGATAATGTAAACTCAAATATTAGTAACAAATTTTTTTGTAGATGTCAGGAAGTCATCTAAGCTAAAGTTTAATTTGTTACTTTTATCCTTGAGAACAATCAGCCCCTGCATGTAGCTGCAAAAAGATATGCTGGTCCACTTTGCAGAAGAATGTTTCTGAAAAGTATTGTTGTAAAAAACTATGGTTCAGGGTGAACTAAAACGTAAGCTATTAATTCGCTGGCACAAAAAATGTCAATTGTGGAAATATTGAAGAAAGGAATATTCACTGTGTCAACCTATGGCTCCTTTGACTCTCAACTTTATCCCGTTGTAGTATATTTCAATTCCAACATTAGCCAAGTTAATGTTTCTCTGTAGGCAGTCTGTAACGTTTCTCTCTGTCCAACTTTGGAAGCTAGCTCCACAGAGAAGAATGCTGGGAGTTTAGTGCTGGATGAGTTGAAATTAAAGGATATTTCACCTTATAACTGCTTAGGTGTGACAATGCACCTGTAACGACTGGTTTGAAGAATGGCGTTGCAGTTATATTCAAGGGGAAAAAACTGAGATTTTTGGTGTTGGCTGCCCTTGTCACTTAATGCATATAGCAGATGAGAAAGGGTATAATGCACTTCCTGTCAACCAAATTTAATAAATAGGCATTTATTATTATCTGCAAAGGAGTGTGACTAGAAAATTAGAGCTCAAAGATTTACAGCTGCTGTTTGATGATGCCCATAACATTTTAAAACATACAAGTACATTCTGACTATCACTAAGCATATTTAAAAACGTTTTTAGAGCAGTGATACCTACTCTCTAGCTTCTATAAAAATCGAATAAATAAAAGTACTTGTGTACTTGATTATCAGATAACATAGAAAATAACATTTAATGAAAATAGTTGTGACAGTTCAATAGTTACTCTTCTGGAAACTAAATAAGTAAAAAGAAAGATCTTTCAAAGAGAGAAGATAACCCCATCAAAAACTTAAAGATACGTTATTCTTCAAAATCTTCTAGGAGGCCTGCAGCTTTGACGACACAATTCTGATGTTTCTGTCATCAGATTTCAATAAAGCATACTGTTTTTTTTTTTTTTTGTTATCCCAATTTTTGGAAAATACAATTTGACATTACAGTCAAATGAACCAATAATTCATATTCTGAATTCTTCATTGTTAGACAAGTTTCAACAGTTTTTTTCAAAATGTGTAAAGCCAGGTGTTTGAAATTTCATCAACTTCGTAATAGTTATTCATAACGCATTGCTTTAAATTCAGTGTGAAAACTTTATCTAACACAACCCCTTATAATGCTTCGTCCAGTATTATCTTAGCAAAAAATTACATGGTGAAGCATTTTCGAATATTGGCAGGTGTGTAGAGAATTTAAAGTGTGCTACAGTCAAACCCCGCTATAGTGAACCTGGGATATAGTGAACACTCGGATGTAGTGAACTTTTTTAGCGGTCCCGTCCGTATTCCTATTTAAATAATGTTATTTTTAGCGCTTATGGTGAACAGCTTAGAACTTGGAAACTCGGTTATAGTGGACTCAAATTTCAATTCTTTAAATATCTTTTTCAGTCCTCCATCTTTAAACTTGTAGGTGTTGGGACGGAAAATGAATGATGCCTATAAAATATGTCATATTACTCTCCTTTATGCTTATCACTTTTAACTATACTGTAATAAATGTCAAACAGATCATTTATCTTATACTCCCCCCTCCCTGGCAAGCCTCGCTTTATCTCTTTTCCCCAAGCTTGCTCTACAACTAATTAACTTGGCCACCTGCTGAATTTTTGGAATTTTCTTATCTGTTCAAACCATATTCTTTACAAATCACCCCTTGACAATCAAGAAGGGGAACAATTTAACTCATTCTACAGCTGCTCTCTTCATATTCTTACATTATCTATTTGAGACAAGATTTTTATTTCAAAAACAGTGAAAATGGCAAATTCTCTAAAGAGAAAAGCGTTTTCGATAGAGGACAAAGTTAAAATTGTAAAGCGTATTGATGATGGAACCAATCAATCGACACTGTGTAATGAATTTTCCTTGTCAAAATCTACAGTTTCAAACATTTGGAAAAGTCGAAGTGCAATTCTTGCGGCATACGACAAAAACATGGTTTCATTGAAAAAACTGCGTGGAGCTGAAAGAGAAAACGTAGAAGATGCTTTGTTAAGATGGTTCGAAATCTTGTTCAAAATGTAAAAATCTTGCATTCTTTGCACATTGTAGATAAGAAAATTGATGAACTCAATTTAAAATCAAATTGTGTTCAATCAAAAATCACAAATTTTTTTCATAAAAAGTGAAATTAAAACTAATATTTAGCGACGTAATTACTTTTTCCATCAATTTTTGCTTTATTATCTGTTCATTAGTTAATAATTTTTTAAATAACTTATGCAAAATTGCAAAGCCAATTTTCAATCATTCAACTGTCTTTTGCAAAAAATATTCTTCAAAAAATTTGGATATAGTGAACCATCGGTTATAGTGGACACATTACTGAGTCAGCAGACGGTTCACTATAGCGGGGTTCGACTGTATATGTAAATCTGAAAATAAGTAAGTGTTTTGGTGCAATCAAATTTGCCTTTGAGTAAAACTTTTTACTATAAAATTAAGAAACATACAGTTTAAAAATTCATCATAACCATTCAGTTAAACATTAAAGTATCATGAAAATACAAGAGTTGTCACGGTACTTTTCATTTCGTACATTCAAGTCTGACACAAAGAAAGCTCGATGCAATTTTTATGTGAATGTAGGTTAAGTAAAATGTTTTATATTAATATATATATATTTGAACCTTGTTTCTATCAAAATTAGCTTTTTAATGAAAATTTTTAAAAGTTAAGCAAAATCAGAATGTTTCTCTTGAATCCCACTTCTATAGAAAAAAAACTTCTTAAAAATTATTTCATTTACAATGTGCAGAGAATAAACCAGTGAACATTTGAGAATAAAACAGTGTTCAAACAGAAAGTACAGTAGGCAGCACGTAATTTTAAAAGAAAATAAAAAGCCTGTTTGAAATTAAGGAAGTTTAATGCATAGACAAGTAATGTTACTTTTAAAATGCTCTATATCAAAATAAGTTTTTAAGGTACTCAGTTTAACTTACAGAGTCAGTTTAAATTAAGAATAATTTTGTAATTTTATTATGAAGTGACTGATTAGGTTGTGGAGAGTAATAAATTTTTTCTGGACTAATTTTTTCCTATACATTGTTGGAAATTGGAAAAATAGTTTAAATTACTTGTATCTTCAATTGATAACACCAAATTATGTAATCTTCTTTAATGGGGTCGATAATGGCTTGGCTTATTTTAATTCTTATTTTTCTTTTGGAAATTTAGCACAAAAAAATTGTTGCTGTTTTATCTCAAAACTGTTTGTAACTCAAAAGTAGCTAAAATATAAAAATACAGCTTTTTTTTAGATTAATTTACAGAAAATTAAATATAATATTATCTTATTCAAAATGTAATTTATAAGATTGAGCATACACGAAATTTTTTGCGCAGGTATCAAGTAGATTATCAAGTTGGAGTCCTCATCTCTCGTTCATCTGTAAACATTTTAAAAGTGAACAAACTTTGGATTCTTCCTATTTTGCAGGTCTATATTTATATTATTATTATACCATTTTATTATTTTATTGAACCCATTTGTGCCTAGTGTCCTTTTAAAAGGATGGTTCTATGTTCAAGAAAATAAAAACGTGATAGCTCAAATGCTTAAGTATTACAACTAATTTTGAATATTTTAAAAAAAGTCTACCTTAATATATTAGTAGTAATGTAAGTATTTATATTGGTATTTGAAATTGAAACTCAGTGCTTTTTGAAAACTCAAGTTATAGGTAACAAAGAGAAGTATCCATTTGATGCAAAGATATGTGTACTTCTACTTTTTGCAGATATGTAGACCATTTTTTATGGCTGGGCATTAATGGGTCAAAATTAAATACCAGCTATAAATTTGCATTTTTTATCTGTAATTTTAAGTACTGTAAAATTATAAGTTTTTTTTATTTTTATGATGCAAGGAACTGTTGTATATATTTATTATGCAAGGTATTATATCACACCACCAAATTAATTAAAATTAATTCTTGATAATGTGTTTGATAAATATCAACATAAAATATACTGTTTCAGTTGGTCTTTATAAAATGCATATTTTTAATGATATAAAGCGAGAAAGAAATAAACTATTTTCAATCATATATCTAATTTAAATTACTGTTTTGATTTAGGTATGAATCCTTCAATTAAGGAAATGTTTTTAATGTGCTAGAAAACTATTAATTTATCAAAAAGCTATTAACACAAAGCTCCTATGTTCATGTTATTTCTGAACATGTTCTTTTCTGTGATAGGCATTTTATTTAAGATACTTTTATCCTATTATTAAATCTTGACATATTCCTTAACAACCTCATAATTAATAGACTTAAATTTAATCTTTTGATCTTATGCCTTTAGATAGGTGATCTGATAATCTTTGCTCTAATTTATCAAAATTTAAGTTTTATTTTTATAAATTTTATTTTTAATATCTAGTTGGAGAACTGTATTTAAATTTGTAATTTATAGTTATGTAGGGAAAGACGGGTATGTAAAATTTGTTGAATTTTTACTATGTCTAATATGCAAAAAATATTTAAAAATATGCCGATGATAAATATAGCTAATTAGTTTGCAATTCCTATTGCATTTTTTAAAGTAGTTTTGTTTTAAAACACACATGTTAGTATTTCTAAAATAAACTACAAAAGGATCATGTGTTCGTAAATTTACCTGTAATGGTAAATAAACAAATCACATTAAGTAAAATTCCGTTTTTACTTAAAATAAGCAAAGGTTTTATGATTAATATGTGTTATCAGGAGTCAGTTATCTCAATCTTTTTTTACTATTCTTTCTCTTACTGTATTATCACAGAACCTCACTTCCGTTATTTATTACTAATACCTACATATAGATAAGATATATAAGGTTAAAGATACATGGATTAAAGTCGAATCTCCATTTATTCCTTAATTCATTAGTGAAAGTAAGGAAAATTTGACATCAGGAACTATTTGACAGATATCGCTCACATTTTGTACTTTCCTTTATAAAATTCTATATTTTGAAATGGTGTGGAAAATTTAACATCTTACAATTCAAAATTTTTTCGACTATTATTAAATAAAATAATAAATATTTATTGAAAGCTTTTTTTTGTATGGAATTATCTTTGGAGAAATAAATTTTATAATTGTGTGCAAACAGTTTTTTAATTCGCTTAAAAAATTCTTAAGATATGGCAAAATATGCAAAAAGTAAAATTAACATCGTAGGGTCTAAAATTAAAATCGCTGTCCTGATTAAACTATTGAGGCCATATTTTTCAGATTCCCATTTTGGCTGCTAGAAAATCGAATTCGTTTAAAAAAAAGGTATATTCTTTCAGAGAAAACACGTATTTGTGTCTGATTTCGTAACTTAAAGTATCGTCTGCACTAATTAATTAGCATATTTGTAGTCAATCCTGAAACAATTAAGATTGAGTACAACAATATGTGAAGACCCAATCATTAGATCAAAAGTTATTCAGGGTGGTCGATTATTATTTCTTTAGTTAGTTAATTAGTAATTTTTTAACTTTTCATTCCTATATTTTTCTATCTATTAACATTTACTTTAAGTAAATGTTTGGAAATTATTTTAATGGGAATTATGTTTCATTTTTCTTTTCAACACAAAGCTGTGGTTGAAAACTAAAACAAAACCTAATGCAATTTTCGTAATATTAAAAAAAATATTAACAAATATATGTAGGTTTCAATACCATAGTGTAACAACTGCGAACATTACGTCATTCACCATCTTGTAATATTAAAGGAAGTTGCATCATCCTCTTGACATTGAGAGGCGCCAGCCAGACCAGAAGGGGAAGTCCCGAAGGGAAACTCCCGAATTTATAATTAACTCTTACTTTATACCATAGAACAATCTAATTCTTAGTCACATGCATTCCGGAGACCACTGCGAGAAGGCAGCTCTCACGAGACATGTCAATAATGCTAACTGCTATATCCTTCTACGTATCTTTTTATTTCTATTAAATTGTTATGTTTGTTAAATTATCGTCATCATTTACTCCTATGCTGCACTATCTCCCACATATATTTTTAATAAAAGAGCAGCATGAATAACATTAGTCTAGGCTTGTAATTAGTGATATTATCCTTTTACTCACAGTGCCCAAAACGCAAACAAGTTTTTATAGATTTAATTCTCTTTTAACTATTACTTGGAAGAATACGAGAAAATCAGATCCATCATAATGTACTGTATTTATTATTTAATTGTTTAATTCCTTGATGTGAAATTCCCTTAAAATTTGAAAGAATGACTTTTACTATGCGCAGTAATGTGACACTTATTAATATTTTTATGCATTTAGTGCTGTCCGGTATTTCAAGTCGGTGGTAGGTTTTTAAAAGTTATGTGATAATTAAATAAAATAGTGTAGGACGCATTCTATTGAAGCTTGCCGAAAATTAGCATGTTACATTTAAAATGTATCTGTACTGTAAAAAATATTTTGTATGATGTAATTTAAAAATATATAACCTAGATTCGAATAAAAATTAAAACGTCCAAACAAGCTGAAAGTTGTTTTATGCTGTAAAACAAAAATAACTTAAAACGAAACTGAAATCTATTGACAGTTGTAAAAAATAAACAGTGTCTTTAAAAATTATTACAAAATATTAACATAAAATACTTGCAATTAAACTATATAGTGCTTAAATTAAACTAAATTATTAATAATCACAATTATAAACTGTATTAATACTTATCAATTTCAATATAAAAATTGTTAAGTAATGATCAAAATAATTCATTAAATGGTTTTTAAGATATCACTTATGCAGAAAAATGATAAATATAGAACAGGGTGCATAGTGTTTTTAAAAAGTACTTAAAGATGCTTATTTCCATTTTTAAAAAGTGCTTAATTTTCCATTTTCTAAAATGAGATATTGTTTCTTTACCATGTTTATTTTCGCCACTAATTATGCAAAAAGACATTGTTCTATTCTACTTTTTCGCAATTAGTTCAACCTCAATCTATTTCCGCATACTGTAGCTGGTTTGTAGCATATGAAAACTTCATTCGGGTTTCTACATGTTTGATGAAATACTTGAGGGTCTGCATGTGCTTATATTGATCTGGATTCAGTAGGAAGGATTTTTGCCCTTTATGTGCAACTCTGCTGCATTTTGCAAGAGATTCTCAATTTCAGGCTTCATTTTTGCACCCTTTGAAATCAACCTGAAAAATCTCACGAATTTTCGCTAATACAGGGACCAACTAAGCATTATCTTATTTTTTCCCCTATTAGCGATATAGTGACGCGCCATCGTCTTCGTCACTGGCAAGCTAATGGCCTTCTTGCGAGATACTATTTATCGATCAGTATCATAATCTTTGATCTTGACTGGGGGATCATTCACTAATTATGCATTTTCATGTGGGTCCTCAGATCAGTCAAGAATCCCAAAACTTCATTACCTCAAAATTTCCATCTCAGTTTTATTCATTAAATCTAAGAATTAATTGAGAATTTTAAACGTAGCATTTTTTCTGAGCGACCGTCCATCAATTGCATAAAATTTTTGTAAATTTTTATATACTTAATTGCTTTTTTTTTGCTTATTACTTTTTATTAATTATTGTATTATTACTTTAACAAATTTCAGTACTCTTAATTTTTTTTATGAGATAACTCAATAATATTTAGAGGCAAGATTTTTAAAAAGTATGAAGTGAAGGGCTTTTAATATTTTAAATGAGACTAAAATCTTATGTTTAGTTATGTAAAAACAGGATGCATAGCGTTTTAAAAAGTACTTAAATGTGCTTATTTTCGTTTTTTAAAAGAACAGTAGGGAATCGATTATCCGGAACGATCGGGACGATCGCTATTCCGGATAACTGATTTTTCCGGTTTTTTTGAATCGCCACAAAAAGCCGTTTTTTTTGTTGTTAAACACAACTGAAAAAAAAAATTTTTGAACTAATCTTAAAAAGAAGAAAAAAAGATGAAGTAATACACTAATGATTATTTCCAAAATGATGGTAAGGTAAACATCTTTCAAAAAAGAAAGAAAAATCCTAAAATCTTATGAGGAAAGAAAAATTATTTCTTTGAAAATGGCGGGAAAATTTATTGAATTTCGTTCCGGTTTTCTGAATTCCGGATAACGGGTTCTGTACTGTACTTTAATTTTTCCTTTCCTTGCCCTTTTGTGTTCAAATTTGCTGTATTTTGCAAGGGATCATTCCCTAATTATGTATTTTCATGTTGGATCCCAGAGCAGTAAAGAATCACAAAGCGTAATCTCCTCAAAATTTCCATCTCCCTTTTATTCATTTAATTTAATAAAGATAAGAGACAATTTAGATTTTTAATTGTAAGAATATTTACTAGAGGAACTATCTACCAATTGCATAAAATTTTTGTAAACATTTATTGTGCTTTACTTTTTTTACTAATTACTTTTTATTGTATTATTACTTTTAAAATTTTTACTTCTCTTTAAGTTGTTTTATAAGAAAACTCAATACTATTTAGAGGCAAAATTTTTAAAAAGTATGAAATGAGTATGAATTCACTATTTTAAATGCAGCAAAAAATCTTATGTTTTTCATATTTGTAATTTTCAAAAAAACTGTGATTTATCTATTAAAGATTTTATTTAGAAACAATTAAAATTAAAAAATTCAACTATCTTAGATTAATTAAATATTATAGGCATAGGGACCATGTAATAATTTAGTGCAAAAAAGTTTAGCTTCAATACTCATTATATTTACATTAAAAAGTATTTAATTTTTTTTAATCCTTTTATTAAAAAAATACTGAACCAACCAAATAACAAATTTTGATAAAAATTCATTTTAGACCATTCACTAATATACATTTGTAATATGAATTTATTAAAGTTTTCTTAGTTTGCTTAATTCTTTTCATTACTTCATAAATTCCATATGATCAACTATATTAATCTTGTAAATGTTTTGTCGAATATGCTTTTATAAATAACTTTTATTTTAATCTATAAAATACCTTGAATATTTTTTAATAACAGTTAAATTAATTATAATTTTGTGGGTGGTTGATGTAATCAAGAAAAGTGTTCTTTGTCAGAAAGTGCTTAAAAATATGTTTAAGTGCTTAAAGGGTGCTTATTTTTTGTTGAAAAATTTAGCTACGCACCTTGAAAAAAATTCAGATCTGTCATTCCAAAAAACTTTAGTTCATCTCCAAATAATTTTATTTGCAAGCAATTGAAATAAAAAATCAATTATCTCAGATTCATTAAATATTACGAATGTAAGGACCATTTATAATTGACTTTTGACAAGAATGTTTAGCTTCAATACTCATTGCATTTACATTTCAAAATTATTTAAATTATTTTAATCATTTCATTAAAGAAATACTGAATCAAGTAACAAAAAAAATTATTAACATTTTTAGGGGCCATTCACTAATTTACATTTGTAATATGAATTTATTAGAATTTTCTTAGTTTGCCTAATTCTTTACATATCTTTATGAATTTGGTATGATCAATAATATTAATCTTGATAATGTTTTGCTGAATATACTTTTATTTAAAAAAAATTTTATTTAAATCTAAAAAATAAAATTTATTGCCTTTCTAAATAATAATTAAATTAATTATTTTAATTAAATATGCATAATTAAATAAAGTAATTATTAAATAAATAATAGAAAAATAGAATGAGCCACTTAATATTAAATGTCTTTAAAATTGTGTGACTAATAAACTAATAATGGTGACTAATAAAATGAGGAAAAGAGTTCTTTGTCAGAAACTAGTTATTTTATCACAATCATGTAAGTCTTTAGAAATTATTTTGCATTTTACTAATGTATTTATGAAGAACTTTCAACAATAGGAAGAAGAAAAAAAATTTTTTAGTAGGATATACAACTTAAAATTTTATTAGTAGGATATACAACTTGTAAAAAAAAAATTATACGTTGTATATCCTAATTACAGGGTTGGAATTTTGAGATAAAAAACTAGTTTCTGACTTGACACGTCAAAACCGTCAATGAAATTCATATTTAAATTAAGAAATTATAACCTACCCCTAATACAGACAGTAGCAGTTTTAGTTAGTTATGGTTACAGCACCAGAAAATTATAAATACTCAAGTAGCTACATTTTCTGCCTCTCTTTTATAAAACTAATTTTCATTCTAACTAGTACTCATTAACCCTGCATTTTTTCAATTTGTACATTTCAGTTTCAATGCTATTATTTTTACTAAAGACGACTCTAATTAGTATTTAATCTGTTTAAAAGTTCATACAAAAAATTGTTTTCTTTATAAAATAACATTTCTCCATTGTTTAAAAATGTTTGTCATATATTTATAATTTTGTCATTGACATTTACCTATTTATTCATTACATTCAAATTCATTAATCAGTTTAACCTTATTTTTTAATTACTCTTTTTTCAGTTCATAAATGTCATTTTCTTGCTGTTTAATGTTTACTATGCATTCTTGCCAAATATCTGGATTGTTTTTGCTATAATATTTTACGAAGGTCTTCTTGGAGGATGTTCATATGTCAATACATTTTACAAGATTACTGTTGAGGTATGTTCCTTATTGTGTTGTTTTAAATTTTTATACTTTGAAATTTATACCTTTTTACTCAGTAACTTTGCCTATTTGAATAAAATTATTATTAAAATCTTTATTTTATTATCATCTTATATATATTTTATTATTATAAAAATGTGCTATTTTTTTAAACCAATAAGAATGAATTTTTTTTTCATGAGCTCTTATGTAATTTTTAATTCTATACTATTATCCTTAAGCAGTATGTAGTTATTCTTTTTGGCCAAACAATTTGTAAAATATTTTATAATTTGAATTCTTTACATAGAAGTTATACAGGGTTAGCACAAAAAATGAGCAGATTTATTTATGTATTTAAAACTTTTACGTATATTATAATGAGTTATACACAAAATTAAAGAAGAGTATTAAGTGTTTTTTATTTACAAAAGTTGGGTGTGTGACTTTTTTGTTACAAGACAAACATATTATCTGTAATCAATTTTTTTCCCCACACATTTTGTAGTTTCACAGTATCAATGGTTTTAAATGCTGCGCACATACATTCTTCAATCTTTTGGAGAACGTTTTTGACATCAATTGTTCATTTACAGTATTTTAGGTGTGCAGATGACTACGTTTACTCAATACAAATATCTAAGAACCTTACTCTATATTATTTCTTTTTATAAAAGTTTCATCAAAAACACTGTTTATGAACCACAGATGCCAAAAGCACAGCAAAGACATGAAAAATGTATTTGTGAATTATTAGAGACCATTGGTAATGTGAAACTATAACTGACTTAGCTATTTTACCAATTTTTAAATTTAAAGTGCAAGTTTGGTTAGGTTGCAAATTTCCTTTTGTTTGTTTTACATTTAATAAGTTTTTTCTTTGTTTTTGGACATTTAATTTTTTAAAAATTTGGAATAATATTTAGTTTTTCAAAAATTTTAGTTGAGATTATATTTAGAGTATTATATTAGAGATTATATTTCTGTGTTGACATTTAAAAACAATGTTTTTTGTCATTTTTAATGTTTTTGAATTAATTTTGAATGAATCTGGTTACAAATAATAGCAAACTTCATTTTTAGTCACGTTGTTTATCTTTATGCTGGGATTGATTGTCATCAATAAAGAAACTTGGCTTGTTTATACATTTTTGGCTCCAATGATAAGAATTGTTAATCCCTAGTTTATCACAATATTTACATGTCTTAAAGGTAGCTCCTGAGAAGCCTGTGTAAAATGACTTGTTTGTTATTTATTTACTTTAAGTCTGTCGCTTTCTTTATGAAACTATGCTTGTTGGTTAAAGTTTGGCTTGGTTGAGAAAAATCTTAATTTTGTAGTGGATAGTTAATGATACAGAATTGAAGGTAGGTTTAAAAAAGTTTAAAATATTCATCTTTAAATGTGAACAAATTAATCTTATTTGAAAAATAAAATAAGTTTACATGTTATTTTTAATGAGATATCTGATTTTACAGCAAATTTAAAAAGTAAATCTGCAACATGTAAGCACTTAAAATCTAGAAAAGCTCATTGATAAACGATGAAACTTAAGTGAGAATAAATTAACCATGCATAATATTTTGAATCAAAATTCACATCATTTATATAACGGCATTAATATTGTTTAAAAATGAAATTTTATTACTTTTTTTGTGTTTAATTTTACGATGATTTGCACAGACAATCCTGCAAAATTTTCATAATTTTTTAAAGTTTTCCCTCGAATTTCTGTCCTTTTTTTCTGCAACAAACTTGCAACTCTATCTATACTCACTAAATTTTGATTCTGGCACTTTTTGCTTACTTTTATTTAGAGATAACATGATGGGGGACATCATGAATAATTTTATGAACAATTGGATGCCAATCAATAGGGGTTTTTGGTTCTTTTGGAACCAAAATGTCTTCATTTGTGGGGGTAATCTCATAACCCTCAATTATATATTCATAACTTAAGTTTATTTTTTGACCTAACTCCGCCAATTTGGTAAAATATGAGTTTAGGTCATGGCTGTTTAGATATTATGCAGGACCCCCGGGTGCATAAATGTTTTGGACCACTATAACATGTCATTCTGTTTCAAATTGAACTGAAACTTCTGCTTAAAATCAAACGAAAAATGGAACTAAAATTCTCATTCATAAAATAAAGCATTTTTAAGGTATAGAATAATTTTAACAAATTTAAATACCCTTTAATTACCCTAAAAACTCAATGCACATAAAATAAAACATTTTTAAACTATGCATAATTTTTTAAAAAAATGAGCGGTTGCAATCCTGTAGCCAGTCCAGATAATCAGTCCAATCCTTAAATAATAATAAAAATTCAAAAGATATGAATTATTTTGTCAAACTAAACAGTTATTAATACGTTGAATGCCATGGGGGTCACCAGTGACCGGCACTGAATTTGCTCATAGCGCCATGGGGGTCATCAGTCATAACCAGTTTAAAAGTTGCTGTCCCATTGTGCTGTGTAATTCTTAACTTTTTCAATTATTACTTAGTTTAACTAATTTTATATACGAAACAGAGTTGGTATTGGTGGAGCATTTTTAGACATTATGACTTAACATAAAACCTGCTCACATTAATTTATTTTATATCAATATTTTTTCAGGAAACAATGATTTCTAAATATTTTAAACTTCATATTTTTGTTTTAAGTAATGCAAATTTACTTCAGCAATTTAATTCAAAATTGTGTGATTAAAATTAAAAAAATATTTATATAAAAATGTAAAAAAAATTATTCTTGAAGATTTTTTGAAAAATCGTTTGGGTTTGAACCAGCCAGCTTAACTCTGCATTAAAAATTAAAATAATACTTAGAGTCATGAAATAATTTTTTCACTAAATACTTATCTTAACAAGTTGAATGCCAAGGGGGTCACCGGTGATCAGCACTGGGTTTGCTCGTAGCGCCACGGGGGTCACCGGTGACCGACGAAGCCAAGATTATTAGAAACACATAATTCAAGTAAATTTTTATTGCTTTTAATTTTTTATATTATTATCATGACTAATATGGTGTGAAGAAATTAATGCAATACATACATAGAAAATCATTTTGGCCAGACGGGCAAGCTATATAAAATAAGCGTGGTATTCAACGTGTTAATACTATACTTACATAAAATAATCATTGTATGACACTTACATTATAACAACAACACTACATAAAAAAAAATTTCTTTTTTTTTTTTTTTTTATTTAATCAATATTAAGTGTTTGGTATTAAGCATTCTGGTTTATAAGGCTTTTATTATGGTAAAAATAATTTAGTATTAACAAAGCATTTATGCCTTATTGACATTTAAAACAGAAACAAGAAAATATCTTTTATTTGAATTGACTGAATAACGTGTATTTATGAGTTCATGATTTGAAAATAAAATAAATTTGAAAATGATGACTGCCAAGCACATTTTCTTTGGACAGATGTATCACATATTAGAACTTAGTTTCCAATTTAGATTTTCCAGATTTCTTTGGTTGTCTTGAGCATAAAGTAATTAAAAGAAATTGTTTACATGTAAGTTATTTATTTACTTCTCATTTAATAGAAGTCCAAAAAAGTCCACAAAAAGAAGTTGTACTTATATATTATTAATTTTATTTTATCACCATCATTAAACAGCCGACCCAATTTTGAGTTTACGACACCAAAGTTCAACTCCGTATCCTTGGTATTTTGAACCTAATCCAGAAGATAAGGGAACTCCTGGATCAAGTATTGGGAGAAATTTGTCTTCATGTAGGACTTTTTGATTGAACTTACCCGCTTTTGCGTTACATAGAGAAGAAAAACCCACTGGTTGTCTGAACGCAAGGGGACCTAAAACCATGATCTGTATACCTCTTAGGATATTTTATGTCGGCACTGTGGGCGGTGCAAGCTGGATTTGGAATTAGCATTGATCAGCCACCCCTGGGATTCAAACCCAAGTCACCTCATTTTGAGGCAAGGGCTCTATCCCCTGATCCACCACAGCTCATACATTATTAATTGTAGCCTACAGTACCGGTCAAAAGTTTAGACTCACTTGTATTTATTACAAATCTTTCAAAAATAGTTATATGTTTCTGACTTAAACATATAATTTATCAAACATAAACATCAACAAACTTTGCAAAACGCTGTTTCTATTTAAAACTGTTCATTAGTTTTTCATTTTGTATCTATTCTGTAGTTGATTACGAGATGAAAAAAGTGCATAGAAATGTCAATTCTAAAAAAAGTGTAATTTATTTTTAAAAATTCATTGATTTTTAGTTTATAAACAATTTACTTTTCATCTTCTTCTGTAAGGTTCATTATAAGTTAAGTTAATGTACGTATCACATTTAAAATATTGATATAGTAGTCTTAATTTGCCAAAATAACCAGTACATATTAAAAACAGAAATTAACACTTTTTATACAATTTAGTACAGAAATATGGGTCAAAAACCAAAAGTAAGTGTCGAAACATGTGCAGTTATTATTGCACTACATGGAGAAGGCTATTCAAGTAGACAAATTGCCTCTAAAACTTGTGTTTCTCAGACCACTGTTGTCAGAACTTTACGAAGGAAGAAAAAAACTGGCCAAAATAAGAGCCCCCAACGATCAGGGAGACCTAGAATAACATCCAAACATGAGGATAATTTTATCTGCATTCAAAGTAAGCGACAGTTGACTCTATCAGCACCAGAAATCTGTGAGAAATTTAATACTACTAGACAGAAAACTGTGTTAGTAACTACTGTACAATGTCGACTTCATGACTATTGTTTAAAAGGTTATGTAGCTGCTGGAAATCCTCTTTTGAATTAACAAAACCTAGTTAAACGACCGTAATGGGCTAAAAAACATGTTAAATTGTCTTTAGAACTTTAACATATGTTTTAACTGTACTATAAAGCCAATGTATGCTATATCTTCAAGACTACGAAGGATGTTTCTTAAGTTGATAAAATACCAATTTCAAATTGTGTATCTAAAAGGGAGTGAGATATTTTTAGCTGACACTTTCTCTCGACCATATATAAAAGATAAGATAAATGATGAACCAGATATGCTTAATGTTGTACATACTGTCAAACAACTCCCAATAAGTGAGAGAAGAGTTGAAAATTTATAAATGGTATAAAGTCTGATCAAGTGTTGAAATTGGCTTATGATTATTGTGAAAAGTGTTCATGTCCTTGAATTGCATGGATAAAATATTATACTATAGCATTTTTCCTTAATGCAAATTTAGACACTTATTTTTTCATCACAAGTTATAAAAGTGAAATGGGCTGTGTTAAACTGTACAAATTTTATAACAGTAATAAATGGTATATTTATATTTACTTTGTTTCATACCTAGACCATTACTGATCAGTTTCATTTCTAGATTATTAAACTATTTTGTATAATAAATCATTGGTATCTTATATATGCATGTAAATCACCAGTACATAAAATCATCTTGATTCCTTGATGCTCAGTCTGAAAACTATTGATATAGATGTAATCTTTACAATAATCTGTTTAATGAGAGTGTATAGCAAAAGTAAATAAAGCAACATGACACTTATAAATACCTTTCGCTGATTGGTCCCAAGGTTATGCAAAACTGTATTAATCTAAACAGTATTAATCTAATTATCGTCAATCTTTTTTCAATGATTGCTATAATTTTTTTCTCGGTGTGATAACGACTTGTTAAGTGCGGAAAAGGAGGAATATTAATTCTTTTTCAATGTGTATATTTTATGTTTTGATGGGAAAGAAATGTATTAGACAAAAAAATTCTTTGCTCTCTTTAAATTTTAGAAATGTTACGTTTGTGTATAAAAATGAGTCATTTATTTATTTATTCTCTGTGTAAAAAAAATAAAATTAAAAATTAACCACTAAAAAATAAAAAATAAATTTTGAGTTATTTCTTCTTCCAGCAATCTTGTGTCTGATATGGGAAGCTCATAACTTGTTTTAAGAAATCACCCTCATAATTTGTTTTACAAATATAATACTCCCACAACCTCATAATTTGTTTTAAGAAATTAATATTGCTGAATTGCATTTCTGCAGATGAAGATGTGTGAAACTAAAATTTTTCTTAAATTTCACTAGCAAATTCTATGGTTTACTTTCCTCTAAAGGTGTTTATGAAGCACTTAAAACTGTTGATTTTTTGTAATGCAAAATAAAATTTCGAATCATGTTTTGGATACAGTTAGAATATGTGAAAAGCAGGTGCGAATAAGAAGCCAAAATAAAAAAAACTATTACCATTAGTAATCCTCTCTAATTTGTGCAATAAATAAGTTTACTCCTATTAGTTATTTACTTTTCCGTAATTTTTTACTTGCTTCTACAGAATTTTAAAAAAATTAGAGCACCGAAAATAAGTATACTTTTTGAATTTCATCTGAACTGTAATATCTTTTTATTCCTTTTTAACTTTAATTTTATTTTTTAAAATAATTGGTTGAATTTATTATGAAAAGTATAGAAGTTATTAACTTAATATAAAAGGCAAAATAAACACATTTATTGAAATGAAAAATATATTAATTTACATATTCATAATAGAAATTTAGGATTAGAATACGCAAATAGATAACAGATATGGATAATAGAAAATGCCTGTGTATTGTATGATTTTCATTTAAAAAAATTCTGAACTGACAATGTGAACTTCTTTTAACGTGAACAAATTTTCTGTCACCCTTCGAGTTGGCGTTAACAAGGTTTTACTGTGTGGGTATATACACACACGCTCATAAGTTACTATAAAAGTCCCTATTTCAAGAGAGCTTTAATATTTCCTCGGTGGAAATTGGTACCAAATCATACCATAACATCTCAATCCGTCGCAGAAGTGATATATGTCCCTTAGCTGACAGGCAGGAAAAATTCCCAATTTTAAATGTCACAATATCATAATTGCTGCTACTTTTCTTCCCCATGGCATAGCATGTCTACTCAGATCTTTATCCAAAATTCTTTTATAAATTATGGCATAGTTTTTCTGAGGATCTCTTTCTTGGAATTATAATAAACTTCAGCGAAGTCCAACTTGAGAATTCAAATGAGCTTACCAACTGGCTAACTTGCTCGGTTGTTAACAAAAAATTTCACTGTGTGGTAGTAAAATAATATTTCAAGTGAGAAGATTTTGCCATTTTAAATATTATTAGGATAAAATGAATTGAGCTAGTATTAGATCTAATTGTATTTTTTTCCTTCCAAATTTTATGTAACTTTTTTCATGTTATATAAATAAATTTTAAGAGTTTTGCTTGAAATACAGTTTTAATTAGTCATTTCAAGAGTATCAATTTAAAGTAATGCATTTGAAAGCTATGAACATTTTAATTGAAAATAATATATTGTTTTATTAATTAATAAAAGGTTGCTGAAAAGGATCGTGAATTTTCTATGGGAGTGGCATCTGTTGGAGATTCTGTTGGAATAGCATTGGCTGGAATTGTATCTCTGCCAGTTCATGAAGTTTTATGTAAATTACCTGCATATATGTAATGTTTTTTTATTCAAATTGTGTATTTTTTATAACCTGATTACACAAAATTTATAATAAAATCTGTAGCTACTTTTTTTCATCTATGAAGCGAAATAGTTTCCAAAATCTTTCGAAAATGTCTTTAAATAAACTCTGTAAAGTTGCAACCAAATCTATCCATGTGGTTGCAAAAATAAACGAAATAATTTCTAACCGATAGAAGGTTCAATTAATATTTACTACTTATAGTGACTTCAGTTTTCTCGGTGAGGATGTCATCTCTGTTAACCATTCAAATGATTTATTCAGTAATGGCTGAATAAATAAATTTAATTAATTAATAGATATATAATAGAGAAATAAGTAAAAGCTGAAGAATACAAAGTAAGAAACTATGGTATCTTTTTTGTAATAGTTGTTTACGCATTCTAGAACATTTCATTTAACGGAGGTAAACGTTGCTGAGGGTTTTAATTAAGTTCAGAAACAACACTCTACACCTTGAGATTTTAGTTCAATAAACTAGAATACAATACTTTACATCTGAGAGTAACATTAAGATTTATGAAGTCTTAAGTGTTTTGGGCATAAGAAGTAATAAGTTCAGATTCAGCTACAGTCAAAGATGACGATTGTTCCAGTGGCGTAAGCTGAATTTTTTCAAGGGGTGGTTCATGATTTTCTGAAATTACTAGAAGAAATTCGAGTATGTAATAAAGCACTATTATTTCCCTTATTTAGACAGCTAGACAATTTTGACTTTTTATTTCAACAACATTGTTTAAATTTTGATTTGATTTTTTAAGTTTAAGAACATACTTTTTTTTATAATAAGAGGTAAAATATTTTATTTTTATTAAAAAGTAGGAATTGATCAAGCCAGAAAAAACTACTCATAATGTTGCAGCTACCTAAATAATTACCGTATAAATGTGAATATTCTATAGAAAACCAATGAATTTGACCAAAAATAAGAAAAAATAACTTACCAACAAATAGGGAATTAAACCAATATACAAACACGCTAAAAATTTATTGATTTATACAGTAATATCCAAATGACGGAGTTTTTTTGCAAGTTCGTTTAAAATGTCTTCTACAGCTGGGGTAAATTTTCTATGAATGTTTAACAGCACCAATCCATTCATTCTATTATTACCCGTTGAATTGCGTAAATAAGTCTTTAAACGGCGTTAAGTCGAAAAGGATCTTTCGTTTGTGTTTGTTGAAACAGATACAACGACCAATATTTCTAGGAGTTTGAAAATGTTTGGTGTTATATCTTTGTTGCACATTCCAAGAGCATCCGCCGCAGTTTTTGGAGCACTACATTCGTCTTCACTAATCATTTTTAATCTTTTCTACCAGAGTTTTAGTTCAGAATTAAGACTATCATTACAGGTATCCAAATCTCGAGAGTAAAATTCCACTTGTGCTTCAAAAGTCTTTATGTTTGAAGGTTGGCAAATGAAAGGATCGACAGGAAGAAGACGCTAAAATACTTTCAAAATATCACGATGCGATACAAATCTTAAGTCTAATTGTGTTATAAAATTTTCTATAAATGGAATGAATACACTAACTCAGAAGTATGTTTCTGGTGTCGATGAGGGAAAATTAGCGCGATTTTTCTGTTTTCCCGTTGTTCTAGCGATTTGTATGGAAGATCAAATTGTATGTTGCAAGTGTAAGAGAAACAACCTCGTATACCTTAAAAATCATCTTATCAGTCTGGATGATTTGAAGTGAATTTAAAACAACCTCAAAATAAGCTTAGGTATAAATAAAATGACTTCATATACCTCAATAAATACCTTTTTATCGTTAGTTGAAATAAGGTAAAAATTTTTATACCTCAAAAATACCTCTTTTGTTACAAGTGTAAGAAAATAAACCTGGTATACCTTAAAAATCTCCTTATCAGTCTGGTTGATTTGAAGTGAATTTTAAACAACCTCAAAACAAGCTGAAGTATATATAAATCAACCTCGTACACCTTAATTACAACCTTTACGAGGTATAATTTTTATTTCTGTTTTCTCTGCAACCTTAAATATACCTCAAATATACCTCAAAACAACCTTAATACCTCA